TGGTAAATCCACCATCGAACACGTTGGGAAGTTCAAAGCTCAATGTGGCGATTTAGGTTGTCCCACTGGATTTTTTTTTTAATAAAGTTTTAATGAGACGTATTCATTACCATTAAAATGGCACCTAAAGGGGAAATGTTATGACACTACCACATGTGACATCCTTTTCTCTTTTTTTTTTTATGACATAGGAACCCGCAGCCGCTACCCGAAAGTGTGCACTGGGTAAACCATCGGCCGAACCTAATACCCTGCAAACTAGGCCCGACAGACAAGTCACACTAGGCGAACCATGTGTGGCAAGTGATCTAAGACGTCGGAGGTTTTAACCCATGACCTCATGGTCACAAGTCTAACCCCTACACCACCAGGTCATCCCTTACGGGACGCGGTATCATCCTTTATTTAATGTAGGTGTCATCTTTATATGTTGCCATGCATTAGTCTTGATGACTAAGTACGTGTAGAATTGGCTATAAATAGCCTCCTTCGAATGTATATAATTGAATGGAATGAAAATTTATTCTCTTTTGTGTACTCTGTCTCATTCTCTCTCTCTATTAATATATACATAAGTACACTCACATATATATATGCCACGTATATATATATATGCATACGTACACATACACATTACATTTATATTTTATATATTATATTGTTTTATTATTATTATATTTTCGTTATGTATTTTATGACAGTAAACATGTTCATATTATTCATTTATTTTGATCATACTAAATTTTAATATAAATAAGATATTAAGTAAATAAATATAAACATAAATTATATTAATGGTAAATAATCAATTAACATAAAATATACTGTGAATTGTATACATATTATTTATTTATATATCAAAATTATTATTATTATTATTTTGAACATGTTTGAATTTTTCGAAAAAATACATATGAGAAGAATTGTCTTCCCCTTCCTATTAGTCTAAATTTACTTTCAATATCCAAAATTACTTCAGTTATTTATACATATCCAATTGTAATTTTATTCAATAAAAATAAAAACTTCAAGTAATAAAACTTTCATAATCTTCGTTAAACGGTTAATAGAAACTTTATCAACGTTATTTTCAATATGAAATAAATAAGAGTAAAATTGAAACATTCACTATTTATTAGATACTTAATAAATATATTGTTAGGTGTTAAATAAATATATTGATTGTGTTAAAAATACATATATATTCAGAAGTTAAGATTTACAAATATATAAAATGAATTATGGTGTATGTCTTTGACATAAACTTCATCTAAAATATACTGTAGGTTTGTTTTGTGTTTTGGTTTAAATTTTTATTTTTTATTTTTTTACGTGAAATATAAAAAATTATGTAGATAATATAACAATAATAAGTGTATAGTTGTAGACAAAAAATTGTGTTACTTTTAATAAGCACAAAATTTATACAAATTATATTTGATTTGGATTTAAAGCGGGTCATATTCTCTAAATGTGTCCTTTGATTCTCCTTTCGGGTCAATTTGTTTTCAAACTTGGTTTTCGATGGCTTCTTTGATCCGAAGAGATTTGGTTTTCGGTTTGATTTTGCCGGACTTTGGAGTGTTTTGGTTTCCGTGCAGGCGATTTGATCGCAGCTTTGGATTTGATGTCCTCTTTGGACGATCCGAGACTTTGATCTTTGATTTGGTTTTACCGCATTTTAGAGAACTTTGGTCCCGTGTTTACGATTTGATCGTCGGCTTTGGATTTGATATCTTCTTTAGACGATCTGATGCTTTGACCTTTGCTTTGGCTTTGCCGCTTTTGGAGGACTTTGGTCTCCGTGTAGGCGATTTAATCATCGGCTTTGGATTTGATGTCTTCTTTAGACGATCCGAGACTTTGATCTTTGCTTTGGCTTTGCCGCCTTTTGGAGGGCTTTGGTCTCTGTGTGGGCGCTTTGATCATCGGCTTTTGATTTAATATATTCTTTGGACGATCCGTGGCTTTGATCTTTGGTTTGTTTTTTCTGCCTTTTGGTTCGGTCTCCGTGCGGGAGATTTGATCATCGACTTTGGATTTGATGTCTTCTTTGGATGATCCGCGGCTTTGATCTTTGGTTTGCCTTTTCCGTCTTTTGGAGAGCTTCGGTCTCCGTGTGGGCGATTCGATTGTCGGCTTTGGATTTGATGCCCTCTTTGGACAATCCACGGCTTTGATATTTGATTTGTCTTTTCCGCCTTTTGGAGAGCTTCAGTCTCCGTGCGGACGATTTGATTATCAGCTTTTGATTTGATATCTTCTTTGGGCGATCCGCGGTTTTGATCTTTGAGGCGGTGGATTTGGTGCTCCATAACACCTTTGGCGGCGTGTCCCTTTGACTTTTGGATCGAAGAGGGCCTGGTTGATGCTTTTGACGAAGAACGCGACGAACACCTTGAAGCTTTGGGATGAACTTGGGAGGCTCTTCCTTGGCTTTGACGTATTTCTCAATGGCTTTGGGAGCTTTGATCCTTCCTCCGGCTCAGGCATACGGCGAAGAATCTATCGATTAGTCAACCAATATTGGATCATTTGTCCAAATCAATGACTTTCGATGAAGTACATTTCGAAGGACACGAAGAACATGAAGAACAATACATAAAGAGTTTAGAGACTTACCCCTCTACTTGAATCCTTGATGTAACTTCGGTATGTCAAATGAATTGACCATGACTCCTATTTATAGAGGAGTAATGGCCTTGGATTCCTTTTCGGATGGTGCCATGTGACGCGTTCTGATTGGCCAATAGGAAGATTTTATAATCTTTCATTTTCCATTAGATGTTGTTTTCCATTTTTGACGGATTTGATTGTGCACCTTCCTTTATCGTCAAGATTTTTATATCATTGTCATTTTTTGGAAGATATTAATTTATATACTTTATTTATTGACAAAATTATTTATTTTGCTGTCAAATTTATTATGGCTTTATTTATGCACATAATATTTGTACGATATCTTTCATTTTAAACAAATATTTGCATTAATGGTTGATATTTATTATACAAAAATTAATATATGTGCATAATTAAATACCATATATTTATTTTATTGGAATTTTATTTTCTTCTAAAATATATAATATTTAATTAAATTTAGACATATATTTTTAGTGTCTACATTAGTATATTAATTATTTTTTTTTTCCGAAATGTGTTTATTTGTTTTGAATAAAAGAACACACTTTTTCCCTTCGTAATTAACGATTAAAATTTACGTTATTATGTTGATTAACTTTTAAACATGAATCTATGAATTAATGTTGTAGATTATACTCGAAAAATTAGACATATTATTTTTTATTATTTATTAATATAGGATTATATTAGAAATTTTGCAATATTTAATTTCAATTCAATACGATGTCATCTACATAATATTAATTTGATTTTTTCCCTAATTTTTTTGAACAAATCAGACATAAGTTTTTACATTTTTTAAAAAAATTATTTCATTTTATTAATACTGATGTGCTCACCCGTGGGTTGCATGATTTGTATATATTTTTAAAATTATATTGTATACGTAATTTATTATAAATGATAATATCTTTTAAAAAAGAAATTAAATATTTTTTTAGAATCATGTGCATAGTAGAACCAATAGTATAAATATATAAACTTTGAATATACTCACTATCTAATCATTAATATATAAATAAAAATAGGTGACAAAATTTATAAAAAAAAATTATCATGTTACAATTTTTTGTCGAACTCGTAAAGAGAAAACTAATGATATAAATATATAAGTATATTTTATAAAAATTTGAAGGTATTTACTTTTATTCTAAAAAATATACTTAAAAATAACAATATTTTCATAATTGACATCATATTTATTTGATAAACTACATGTGTTAAGTAAAACATTTCACTTTTATTCTAATACAGTTTGTTTTCTTCAACTTTGTAGATCATTTTTATATTGTGGTTTCCAACTTTATAAATTCTTTCTATATTATGAAATATTTGAAAAAATTCAAATAAAAAATTATAGTGAGTTTTAAGATAAAGAATTTTTTTTCCTTTTTTTTTTTTATGTCAATATGTTTATTTTTGTATCTTAAAGATATTTTTGATATTATTTTTCCTATCAATGTTATTTTATAAAATTTTGTATTACTTTATTTTAATTTTAATATTTTACGCAATTACTTATATTAATTTTTTAATAATTGAAGTAGAAATAAGATGATAAAAAAAATAGAAAAAAATATAGATTCGTGATAATACATATATTGTCTTATATTTATATAAATAAATTATAAAATATAATTAATGTTATGGATAGATTTTTACTTATTTTGTCATGTTATTGATTGGTACCACTACAAAAAAAAAAAAAAAAAAAAAAAATATACAAATTACTACAGTAAAATTTCGTCTTGACGAAATTTCTGTCACAACTTTCAATTACAATGGAATGTGCATCCAAGTAGGAGTTGTAGTACAAATTACTGTAGTGATTCAAAGTGAGAACTAAGATTTTCAAAAAATTGCAACAGAACTAGTGACCGTCATTTCCGTCACAACATTTTGCCACGGAATTTTACTACAAAAATGTGGTACTAACATATTGCATGGCAAGAGAAAAGATTGTTGTTGATTGTTGCAAATTTTTGTTGTTAGGGAATATAACTATCGTTACTTCCGTCGTAATTTCTACAGTAAACCACCTATTCAATTTGTCTTTTCCCGTTTATTGCCAATTTTTCCAAAACCTATATAACAAATATCAATTCAATTCTCCATAATCAATCCAATTTAATAATTCGATTAATATCTTTTGTCAAATATACGAGAATTAACTGAAATTATATAAAATTTTCAAACCTAAACAGTATTTAATAGACCACAAATACGATATTTTTAGTATCAGTACCGCAACTAGAAAATATCAGAAATATGTACTAATTTATTTCTAATTACCATAATAACATACAAAAACAACTAAATTTGTAACTAAGAAAACATATAATAGTGAAATATCATAATACTGGAACACTACCACCATTTGAATCGGGATCAGGCCTATGAATAGATGGTGCTCCCATACATCGTAATTGCTCCATAATGTGCTCCCATGCATGTTTTCAGAAGAATATTTATGGAGCATAAATATCAAAATCTCGCAAAGAAAGCTCAATATCCTCCTCCTCCAAAATGTATATTTCTTCCCTAAGAATTACATTTGAGACAAAATAGTGTACCTTCAACAAATCACCAATATCCAGATCATGATTTATGGTATCCCCGATATCAGTAATTAATTTTACAATTCTCTTGGCTTGTACATATATAGCAAATGCTTTTCCTCCCAATATACAAGCTCAAGGAACAAAGTTTGCTATCCGTTCAGCCGCTGAAAGAATGCATACTAAAATTGAAGTAAATTAGTAAAGTGCATTTTCTTCACCCATCTCAAATCAATACAGAAAAAATGAACAGTTTAGCTAACATTCACATGCATTTTAGGAAATTATTAAGCAAATTCACATACTAGTATGAGGACAATTTGCCTACCAAACCTGCCTACAATACAAGGATGTTAAAAATTATATATGAGATCTTTATCCTTGCAAGAACTACATCTAAAAATGTTCTTCCCAGAACATACGCCACAACAAACTGACATGCCATAAAAAATAATGTATATTATGATAAAAAAAAAAAAAAAAAAAAAAATCATGGCAAAATATAGTATAAAGTTATCACTTATTGAACATTAAAACCAAAAGAATTGAATTCGAACAATATACCATATATCATTTCAGAATGTAAATTGCCAAAAGAAATATGCAAACAAGACACAATTAAGGAGTATTTACACACCTTTTCATGGTATTGTTTCACTAATTGTAAGAACTATTCAACGGCTTTTGAATGTACATCACTGGAAAAAAGCAGCAAGTGAGCAAATAATTGATAATGCAGAGTCGAAGAGAACTTAAAAAGTGTTTAATAATGAAAGAATAAAAGATGAGAAAATATTTTTTGTGGCCTCCAATAGGAACATAGAGCATGTAAAGTTTAGAGTAATGTCTAATAATTAGATAATTGAACTAACAAGCAACCACACATAGAGGATGAAGGTAAAAAGAACAAACAGATATTCCAAGCATGCATTCCACATATCTATCATCTATCTATATATCTATCTAGAAAGCAATACTCTGATTCAATTATCAGAAGTTGTCCGAATGCCCGTAAAAGAAAATGAATGTATTCCCATGGAACTTACAAACTCTTGCTGCACAGCTAATGGAACCCTATCGGTTCTCTCTCCAAATAATCAATCGAACATTAACATACAAAGATATGTTGTTTGGGACTTACAAATAGTGAATTAATCGAACATAAAATGGAATAATAGAAAACCTAGAAATCTTCTACACGTATGCTTCCACTTACCAAGCAACAACAAACCCTTGATAATCGACGAACCGCAATTGCTCCAATTCAGCTTCTAAACCACCGTTTCCGGTGATAAAACTTCAGAAATATCGGTTTGAAGTCACCAGTGCGTTTGTGTGTATTTTTCTGAGTGAGTGTGAGAATCTGAAGCGGAGCTGTTTGCGTCGGTGAGTTTGGGAATTAATTTGAAGCAGAGCGATTAAATTTAGGGTCTAGGGCTTACGAGAGATGAGGTTTGTGGCAGAGTCAATAGGAAATTATAAATTGCGACAACTCAAATGATTCCTCGTTTTAATTTGGGATATTTGCAATGGAGTGGGTTTATGGCAGATTCAATAGGAAAACTGCAACTGAGTGAATTATTGGTCATATAAATTATAGGATATTTTCAGCGGATCTAATTTGTTATTATTTAAGTCGCAATTTTGCAACATAATGTATTTTTTGTCACGTAATTCTTATATTTACTGTGACAGATTATGAATATTGTAATATTATCTTACAACAGATCAAAACTGTGACCATCTTTTAGTTTTTTAGCAAATTTTGTTCGCAATTTTGCAATGAATTATATTACGTAGTAAAATTTTATGGAAATTTACAATTTTTTTTTTGTAGTGGTACAAAGGAATGGAGTAATTCACATCCATGTCATGTTTTCGATCAAACAATTATGGGGATTGAGACGTAATTGTAGGCATGATGATCGAGATGGAGTGATTAAATGTGCAATCGAAGAATTGATCATCTATAAAAATAAAAAATAAAAATAAAAAAAAAGCAAGGCATTAGACTAAATCATTACAATTGATACTCACACTTCATAGCTCGAAGAATGCGGCGAGATGGTTTAAGAGGAAGCGTCATCTGGAGATTATCATTATCTTTATATTATTATTTTCTTTTACTTTGAGTATAAGTAGCTAATTTTCCTTTATTCTAGTCCAATGTTGAATTTAAATTTCGAATTTGGATTTGTGAGATTGTGTTTTGATTTAAATTGAATCATGTTTATTAAATTGATATTTATGCAATTTATGCGATTCATGCCTATAATTTTTTTATTTGATCTTTTATCGCTGACGAATTTTGGATTGATTTAACAATTGTGTGCCAATCGAACATTTGCATCTGTAATTGTGCACTTGTTTGATAAAGTGGTAAATAGGTTGACAAGCTTAGCATAGGAATTGCATGATCAAATAATTTAATCTTTTCGTAATTGATTGAATATTTAAATTGAGTTTTTCTCATGCTATTTTCAATTGAAGAAATTAATTTATGGTCGTACGTAGATTGTTTCTTTGATTAGGAATGCGGTCAATCGGTCGTACCATTGCCGCCAATAAAGTAAGGAAAAATTGGTCGTTTTGATTGTATCTAATTCCTATAACCAATTTATTAATTATATAACAAGATGATTTAAAATCAATGATCGAATCTTTAATACGATTTCTTATTCACTCATTGAGCTAGAAATTTAATCTCTTTGAAATCTAACATTTATTTTCCATTGTTTGTTTTTATTTATCTTAGTGAATTGTTAAATTATCCTCCCAATATTTGAAATTGTGATAAAATAAGAATTAAACTTCACAGTATCTGTGGATCGACCTCGGCACCACTTGCTATGCAATAATTGTGGTATTAGAGTATTTTTACTAAAAGCACTAAGGCTACAAATTTAAATGAGCTCATTTTTTTTTGGCTTTTCTCAATCCTTTATTTTTTTTTTCTTTTTCTTGTTTTTTTTTTTTTTTTTTTTACTTTTCTCTCGTAAGCCATAAATGAATATAACTTCTCATTCCCTTGGAGACTTTAAAATAATATAAGTTTGAAACATTTTTCTTTGACTATAAATTCAAATAAATTTTGGATTTAAAAAGAAAAATCAAGTTAATATGCAGTTCATTTAACAATAAAATTGGATATTCTACTCTTTTGTAGAACATGCTTATATAGTTATACTATTGGTCTTCTACTCTTGCACACGACTCTAAAAAATATTTAATTTCTTTTCTTAAAGATATTTTTCTTTATAATAAATTATTTATACAACATAATTTTAAAAATATATACAAATCGTGCAACGCATGGGTGATCATACTAGTATTATTAATAATATAATACTCCCTCAGTCTCATTATCATGTCCACCTTTCTATTTCCGTCGATCCCACTTATTTTGTCACTTTATTTTTTTAGAAAAAATTATACACTTTAATCTTGTTTTAAATTTTAAAATTTATAATTTTTTTAATTTTAATTAGACTAATTAGTTATTTTAATATTAATATATAATTATTTTTATCATACAATAATTATTTTTACTAATTATACCCTTCAAAATTCACGTGTCTACAGTAAATGAAACATGATATCCGGGACTGAGGGAGTATTATTTTTTATATACTTTTTAAGATGCCGATATTATATCATATTCTATCCTTGTGAATGACCAACACTATAGTTTTGTAGACCAATATAACATTATATCATTTATTGATATTATAGATTTCGTTGATATGGATTCAAAGATAATTTAAATAATATTTGTTTCATGACATCGTTATTTTTATTATTAACTTTATATTATTTTTTAAATATTTTTAAAATGACGAGATTATATCATCTTTTATTAGACTATTCTTGATTATATATATTTTTCTTTATTTTTTTATTTGTCATTCAATATCGTATTTTATACTTTTATTATTGTAAGTATTGTTATTATATTTGTTATATTTATTTAAATTGATATTGTATTTTAATTCACAAGAAAAAATATATTTCATTTATTAATTTTTAAAATATTATTTATATATACACCCAGAGGCGGAACCAGACCAGGATGAAAGGGGGGCTAATTTTTAAAATTTTGAAACGATCATCATCTATTTGTTATCCAATAATTTTATCAATGGAGTTATCATATTTCAAAAATCTTGCAAAATATCAATCTACATTGACAACTGCATATTACAAGATAAATTTTGTATTATATGAAATTAATAAATAATAAAAACATTTATTAAAAAAAAAAGCTGTTAAAAATATCATTTTCTGTGTATTTGGTTGAGAAATTTTTGAAATTTTTTTTAATTATTATTTATTACTTTTTTGTTCATATCTATTTTTATATTATCAGAAAATTATTATGATATAATTTTTTTATTATTCAAAATTTAAATTTTTCACATAAATATTTTATCAATTTTTTGCAATTTTTTAATTCATTTATTATTTTTTATATTACATATTATAAAATAAAACAAAAAATTAAAAATTATAAGGGGGTGGGGTGGGGGAAAGGGTGGGCTGAGCCCCCCTTGCTCCCACATACATCCGCCCCTGTATACACCCGTACATAGCACAAGTCTATTTGATAGTATATATATATAGAGGGGAAAAATTGCAAAAGTTATCCCACACGTATATCTCATTATTACCTTTTTCATGTATTTATCTCGTTGGTAAAATATATCTCACATGTTTGCAAAAAGTCGTTATTTGTATCCTTTGGCCGCGCGTAATTGCGTCTGGTGTAAATGTCACGCGCGGACAAATGACATAAATAACGACTTTTGTAAATATGTAGGATATATTTTGCCAATAAGATAAATACAGGATAAAAGTGATAATGGAGTATACGTGGGGATACTTTTTGCAATTTTCTCATATATATATATATATATATATAGATATTAAGTAGTATAATTTAAAAAAAAAAAAAATCTAGGAATTGTCTTAGCTTAAAAATATGTATTTGAAATAATTTTAGAGCCCGTTTGGATTAACTTAATAAATAAGAAGCCAAAAGTAAAGCAATTCAATTTTGTATTTGAATGAATCATTATAAAAGCAAATTTTTATAAAAAGTTATTTTTTGAATGTAATAAAGTTGAAAGAAGTCCAATAACCAAATATGCATAAATAATAAACACTTTATAAATATGCATAAATAATAAACACTTTATAAATATTTATTTAAATAAATATACTTACTAAATAATATTAATTTAGCCAAAATTAAATACTTAAATAACACATAAATAATGCCTAAAAATATAATTCAAGAAACACATCAATTAATTTAATTTATACACCAAATAAATTATAAATTATACCTAAAAACTAATAAATTAATATTTTACACACAATATACAATAATTGCAATTATTGGAATAGATTAACATAAATAATACCAAATTTTGATATAAATAAATATTAATTAAATAAAAAAATAAGTTATAAAATATGGCAAAATCAAGAGTTATAAAACTCCTCACACTTAACTTTTTTTTTGTCCTTGAATAAAATCAATTAGTGAAATTAATGCAAGTACTTTCTAAACAAGGACCCAATATTGTCGGAAATATCGACGGTGGTGTGTAAGTAAATCTTAGCTAAAGTTTAGATCCTTAAGCCATTTAAGCGTTATTGTTCATCTACAAAGATTCTAAATTATGTCTCCAGAAATATTTTCAAACATAAGTATTCGAAGTAGCTTTTAGAAATAATGCGACGCTCAAAACTTTAAATATACCGCCATAATAAATTATATGGTATAATAAATTAAGAAACAAGGCGGCCCGGTACACATTGCTACGGAAAATAAATTAATTTTGACATTTTGTTTTTCCAAGTCAAGTCGCATATAAAGATAATCGGCATCCTCCTCACACTATTCGTTCGTCAATCTCATTTTTATGGAAACTTAATTTATCTTCTCCGATAACAAGAGCAACTAAATAGAAGAAACTTCTAAAAATTAGACTAAGTATAGAACAAAGAAGAGGATATCAAATTTCATCTTCAACACTGTGGATTTGATTCGATATACAACATTGTTTTATTCAAAATATAGGAGAAAATTTGAAGATTATGGCACAATGTAAAGAGTTCTTTCTTCTTTTATTTACTTTCTTCATAATTTATTGTCCCGAATGTTATTTACAAAGTTTTTTATGCAATTATTTTTATTCTCATTATTTGACAATTTTGCCTTTTATCTTATTCATTCATTTTCTAATAATTCTTCATCTCGCAAACAATTTTTTTTCTTCTTTCTTCTTTGATCCTTCCCTTCACCCATTCATTCTATCAAATTTCATCTTCAACACTGTGGATTTGATTCGATATACAACAGTGTTTTATTCAAAATAGAGGAGCAAATTTGAAGATTAGGGCGCAATGTAAAGAGTTCTTTCTTCTTTTATGTACTTCATTTGTTCATAATTTATTGTCCTGAATGTTATTTACATAGTTTTGTTTGCAGTTATTTTTATTCTCATCATTTGACAATTCTACCTTTCCTCTTA